ATGATTAAGCTAAAGCACGGCATTTAAGCTAGCACACTCAGGCGCAGGAATGATATAGTGGTTATGACATGCCCAGCACAGTGATATATCAGTTATGTCATGCACACCACAGTAATATACTGCTCATGTCATGCCCAGCACCGTGATCTATACCAGTCATGTCATGCACACCACAGTAATATACAAGTTATGACATGCCCAACACCGTGATCTTTACCAGTCATGTTATGCACAGCACAGTAATATACTAGTTATGACATGCCAAGGGCCGTGATCTATACCAGTCATGTCATGCACACCACAGTAATATACTAGTTATGACATGCCCAGCACCGTGATATATCAGTCATGTCATGCACACCACAGTAATATACAAGTTATGACATGCCCAGCACCGTGATATATCAGTCATGTCATGCACACCACAGTAATATACTAGTTATGACATGCCCAGCACCGTGATATATCAGTCATGTCATGCACACCACAGTAATATACAAGTTATGACATGCCCAGCACCGTGATCTATACCAGTCATGTCATGCACACCACAGTAATATACTGGTTATGACATGCCCAGCACCGTGATCTATACCAGTCATGTCATGCACACCACAGTAATATACTAGTTATGACATGCCTAACACCGTGATCTTTACCAGTCATGTCATGCACACAACAGTAATATACAAGTTATGACATGCCCAGCACCGTGATCTATACCAGTCATGTCATGCACACCACAGTAATGTACTAGTTATGACATGCCCAGGGCCGTGATCTATACCAGTCATGTCATGCACACCACAGTGATGTACTAGTTATGACATGCCCAGCACCGTGATATATCAGTCATGTCATGCACACCACAGTAATATACAAGTTATGACATGCCCAGCACCGTGATCTATACCAGTCATGTCATGCACACCACAGTAATATACTGGTTATGACATGCCTAACACCGTGATCTTTACCAGTCATGTCATACACACAACAGTAATATACTAGTTATGACATGCCAAACACCGTGATCTATACCAGTCATGTCATGCACACCACAGTAATATACTAGTTATGACATGCCCAGGGCCGTGATCTATACCAGTCATGTCATGCACACCACAGTAATATACTAGTTATGACATGCCTAACACCGTTATCTTTACCAGTCATGTCATGCACACAACAGTAATATACTAGTTATGACATGCCCAGCACCGTGATCTATACCAGTCATGTCATGCACACCACAGTAATGTACTAGTTATGACATGCCCAGGGCCGTGATCTATACCAGTCATGTTATGCACACCACAGTAATATACAAGTTATGACATGCCCAGGACCATGATCTATACCAGTCATGTTATGCACACCACAGTAATATACAAGTTATGACATGCCCAGCACCGTGATCTATACCAGTCATGTTATGCACACCACAGTAATATACTGGTTATGACATGCCCAGCACCGTGATCTATACCAGTCATGTTATGCACACCACAGTAATATACTGCTCATGTCATGCCCAGCACCGTGATCTATACCAGTTATGTCATGCACACCACAGTGATGTACTAGTTATGACATGCCAAACACCGTGATCTATACCAGTCATGTCATGCACACCACAGTAATATACAAGTTATGACATGCCCAGGACCATGATCTATACCAGTCATGTTATGCACACCACAGTAATATACAAGTTATGACATGCCCAGCACCGTGATCTATACCAGTCATGTTATGCACACCACAGTAATATACTGGTTATGACATGCCCAGCACCGTGATCTATACCAGTCATGTCATGCACACCACAGTAATATACTTGTTATGACATGACCAGAACCATGATCTATCAGTAATGTCATGTACACCACAGTAATATGCTAGTTATGACATGACCAGAAGCGTGATATACCAGCCATGTTATGCACACCACAGTAATATACTAGTTATGACATGACCAGAACCGTGGTATACCAGTCATGTCATGCACACCACAGTAATATATTAGTTATGACATGCCCATCACCGTCATATACCACTCATGTCATGCACACCACAATAATATAGTCGTTATGACATGCCTATCACCGTCATATACCAGTCATGTTATGCACATATATAACAGTTCCAGAAAAAAACATGATATATCTAGTCATGACATGGTCATCGCCGTGATATAACAGTTCTGAGAAAATCCATGATCTGTGCTCGTCACGACATGGCCATCGCCGTGATATAATAGTTGTGACAATATCACCCTGGCACATCAGGACTATGATGTAACAAGGATGCCTGCAAAGCTGTTCCAGAGTTATAATATGTAAGGAATATGTACGGAATGCAAAGCTACACTACTGTTATTCACCCGACTGACAACACATCAATATTCATACCTCCATTATAAAGCTGGCGGCCAGCAGAGTCGAGTGTGACAGTCTGGTCGTGCTGGGCGGGGACATTCCGGCTGCAGGAGGACTTTCCCGTCCACGCATGTCGAGTCTGGGCTGTCAACACTGTGGCACTTCAGAGTCGTGTATGTTGCATATACCTGAGAAATGATGACTTGTCAAATATTCATGGGGCGTGTAGTATGGGGATACTCTATAAGAGTGTTTGTAGAGTATTGTAAAAGAAACTAAAGTAGTAATAGTGTCATATTGTATGTATGTATAGTGTGAGATATTAGTGTCAAGTGGCGTGTATGGAGTAGTGTGAGATAATACTGTCATATTGCATGTATGGAGTAGTGTGAGATAATACTGTCATATTGCATGTATGGAGTAGTGTGAGATAATACTGTCATATTGTATGTATGGAGTAGTGTGAGATAATACTGTCATATTGTATGTATGGAGTAGTATGAGATAATACTGTCATATTGTATGTATGGAGTAGTGTGAGATAATACTGTCATATTGTATGTATGGAGTAGTGTGAGATAATACTGTCATATTGTATGTATGGAGTGGTGTGAGATAATACTGTCATATTGTATGTATGGAGTAGTGTGAGATAATACTGTCATAATACATGTATGGAGGAGTGCGAGATAATACTGTCATATTGCATGTATGGAGTAGTGTGAGATAATACTGTCATATTGTATGTATGGAGTAGTGTGAGATAATACTGTCATATTGCATGTATGGAGTAGTGCGAGATAATACTGTCATATTGTATGTATGGAGTAGTGTGAGATAATACTGTCATATTGTATGTATGGAGTAGTATGAGATAATACTGTCATATTGTATGTATGGAGTAGTGTGAGATAATACTGTCATATTGCATGTATGGAGTAGTGCGAGATAATACTGTCATATTGTATGTATGGAGTAGTGTGAGATAATACTGTCATATTGTATGTATGGAGTAGTATGAGATAATACTGTCATATTGTATGTATGGAGTAGTGTGAGATAATACTGTCATAATACATGTATGGAGGAGTGCGAGATAATACTGTCATATTGCATGTATGGAGTAGTGTGAGATAATACTGTCATATTGTATGTATGGAGTAGTGTGAGATAATACTGTCATATTGCATGTATGGAGTAGTGTGAGATAATACTGTCATATTGTATGTATGGAGTAGTGTGAGATAATACTGTCATATTGTATGTATGGAGTGGTGTGAGATAATACTGTCATATTGTATGTATGGAGTAGTGTGAGATAATACTGTCATATTGTATGTATGGAGTGGTGTGAGATAATACTGTCATATTGTATGTATGGAGTAGTGTGAGATAATACTGTCATATATATAGGAAGCAGTGAGTGAAAGTAGGACGATGTACTAGTATATATGTAGGAAGCAGTGAGTGAAAATAGGGTTACTATGTATATATGTATATAGTATATAGCAGGAAGCAGTGAGTGGAAATAGGGTTACTATGTATATATGTATATAGTATATAGCAGGAAGCAGCGAGTGAAAGTAGGGTTACTATGTATATATGTATATAGTATATAGCAGGAAGCAGCGAGTGAAAGTAGGACCATGTATATATGTAGGAAGCAGTGAGTTAAAGTATGTGAATCTTGTCGCCATATATTTATGTAGAGATTTATGTGAATTTAGGGCTGTCTTGCATTTTTGTAGGGCGTAGTGTAGGAACATTGGCCAGTTGGGGATATTTGGCTGCCGTGTATCACTGCAGACCGTGATGTGAGAACATAGACATAACTTGTTAATTGAGAGTATGGGTAAATGCACGAATTATCAATGTCGTTTTTATAATACAACCGTCGGTTTACATGAACTAGATGTTTAGCGTCTACTGTATGAGACTAGTACACTCTACACACACCGAACACATCGAATCTTAGGGGCGGTCATATTGCCTGATTTATCTTCCCAGCAGAAATCAATCCTAAATAACAGTGCAATCAGATTTGAGACGCGGCCATGTCAACACTAACTACCACCCAGGACCCGCTGGCAGATTTCCTGTGTACGTACATAATCAGCATAAACTCCCCTCTAATAGTCAGTACCGGCATTTACACACACACACTTAATGTACAGGTGAGATATGGCTTTATAAATCACATCTAGGATTCACATAATTACTAGCTGTTTATTTCCCAGTTGGAAGATAAGGACACATATGTGGCCGCCACATCACGAGGCTGGATTGTTCCTGTCACTCTATCTAGTGGTTGTACACACCAGGGTTATAATCATCTCGACTGCACGACATTTCACATCGAGTGTTGTTTTGTTCTTTCTTACAGATGTAGTCCTTTCTAACATTTAATAGCTGGTTGACCTAGATCACAGCCGAGAAAATAGTGTCCGTTGACATATTCTTATTTCTCAGTGTAACAAGTTGGTTGTTATAGCTATCATTGCCCACTGCCCAACAAAGCTTTGTATCGATACTAGCTGCGCGGAGATACGCCGTACTAAATACACAGAAAGAAGAGCATTTTGTCCTCGATAACGTCCCCTTTTATGTGTGGGTAATTGTGCATACTGGTAACTTGCTGACAAGCCGACAGTCAACGCTCACATACGTCCATTCATACGCGCCAGTGTGCATCTGGCGTTCCAAAGAGAGTAGAGTCGTCACCTCGACTACCTGAACTCCATTACGTGTTCCATGTCCTCAGCCGATTTACGTCTCCGACAACGATTTCTTTTGTTTTCTGTTGATGTCGGAGTCAGCGATATGACACAACGTGAGAATCTCTGCACTCATCCTCAGCAATTACGTCTGAAGGTGGCTGGACATCAAACAACTCTCAATCGTGAAAACTGATAGGGAAAACGAGTCAGTTCCTTCATATCGTTGGCAGGAAAGTTGATGGTTCGTCACGCTTCATCCACGACTAATTAACATCCTACTGGGACCCCATGTATGTCTGGAACGTGCTTTACATTTGGTGGTAAAAGCAGTTTTCGGATTTGAACAGTAGGTATCTATCCAGCTGCCCGAGAAAGCCAAGCATAGCGTAAAACGGAACTCGCAAGACGTCTGAGCCTCGGAGGCAGGAAAGATACGAATTATGACAGCTCGTCGTCCACGATGACGCGAGGGGGCACAGCCCAGCGACGTAGCGATAGTAACGGTAATCCTAGGTCTGCCATGTCAGCTGTTGAGTAACAAGTCGCAGCCACATTCCCCCGAGGTGTTGATATTGGGAATTAACAAGTTTAGTGTTGTCACCCGTGTAGACTCCTCTCGCCGTGTTTCCACATTCCACTTGACTCCACACACGAGCAGGCGACAGTGAAGCAGACGACAGTTTGAGTTGACTTGGGAGACAGTAGCAGAAACTGTGTGTGACTCGTGTAGGCACATCTGAGTGAAGTATTTATACTCTTCAGGTTCACCCGTCAACCCCCAGCTCTGGGTAACGCGCTGGTAAATAACGGTAGGGATATGTGAATGGGGTCATTGAGCCGTGCGAGTCCAGAACGCCAAACACAGTTAGTAGCAAGAGTCTGTATCACAGGAACCACATAGAGGGCGGTACCAAGAACATACTGGAGGCAGAAAGGATACACGATAACACTGGTCATTTTTCAGAAGGATTAACTACGCATCGCACAGTGCATGCATGGGTGTTTATTTCAACAGACCTCAGCTGAAACGCGAAATTTGAACTTGTTTACAATTAAGATATATTTCCGTCGTCCGGAGAAAGGCCACTTAAGGAGGTAAGCGTATAGTTTGTCTTATATTGCCATAGTGAACCTGGCCTTGTTTGTTTTTCTAGACTGAGCAGCGTGTGAGAGGGTTCGCATACCGCTATTGTTGAGCCCATATACCTGTCAGAACCAAAGCCGAGTTTTCTCTTCGAGATTAATCACTCTTGCTCTTATCATTTTATTGAATGTTGAGGCTCAGTAACGTCAGTTGTCTTGATGGGATGTTACACAGAGACACTCACGTCTGTGTCAGTTGTCTAGCAGGGATGTTACACAGAGACACTAACGTCTGTGTCAGTTGTCTAGCAGGGGATGTTACACAGAGACACTAACGTCTGTGTCAGTTGTCTAGCAGGGATGTTACAAGGGGACACTAACGTCTGTGTCTGTCGTCTAGCAGGGATGTTACACAGAGACACTAACGTCTGTGTCTGTCGTCTAGCAGGGATGTTACACAGAGACACTAACGTCTGTGTCAGTTGTCTAGCAGGGATGTTACACAGAGACACTAACGTCTGTGTCAGTTGTCTAGCAGGGATGTTACACAGAGACACTCACGTCTGTGTCAGTCGTCTAGCAGGGATGTTACACAGAGACACTAACGTCTGTGTCAGTCGTCTAGCAGGGATGTTACAAGGGGACACTAACGTCTGTGTCAGTTGTCGAGCAGGGATGTTACACAGAGACACTAACGTCTGTGTCAGTTGTCTAGCAGGGATGTTACAAGGGGACACTAACGTCTGTGTCTATCGTCTAGCAGCGATGTTACACAGAGACACTAACGTCTGTGTCAGTTGTCGAGCAGGGATGTTACACAGAGACACTAACGTCTGTGTCAGTTGTCTAGCAGGGATGTTACACAGAGACACTAACGTCTGTGTCAGTTGTCTAGCAGGGATGTTACACAGAGACACTAACGTCTGTGTCAGTTGTCTTGGATGGATGTTACAAGGGGACACTGACGTCTGTGTCAATTGACAACTCCAATATATAGAAATATATAGATAGGGTGAAGATATATAGTGTTGGAATTATTGTAGATTATTTCAACCACACGGACAATTAAGCATTTGATTGCCCTCAATTATATGACCATATCTATTGACTATCTACGATAAATATATAAAAACACTTGTGACCTGTTCTAATCCTATACACGGATTATATTCTTATACCTAGAAACATACCCACCACCCACCACCCACCACCCACCACCCCACACCCCCTCCCATCCCAACAAATCACACACACACACAATCACAATCACACATAATCACAGACAATCACACACACACATAATCTCTCACTCACTCACTCACACACACACACACACACACACACACACACACACACACACACACACACACACACACACACACACACACACACACACACACACACAAACACACAAACACACAAACACACACACACACACACAGACAATCACACAATCACACCACCACCTTGTCGGTCTCCGGTCCCTTAGTCAACTAGGATCGACATCCCACAAGATTATAAGGTATAAGGTAGTAGAGGGTAACATTTGGTTTCTTCTGTGTTTACATATCCATTGGATAATGGCGCATTTACCTTTACATCTGCACAACAAATACGCTGATCGCCCTCTGTATATAGTATAACAATTACGAACAAGCGTGTAGTCATGCTTGCATTTGAATTTAAGTTTTAACACCATGGTATGGATTCTGTCGCACATCCTCAGTGGAAACAGTTCGTACATGTATGCAACTCGACATAAATGACAGCATTACATATTCTTTCTTGTTACTGAAAAGCTGCGGTAGAACAGAACCTGGCCACAGGCAAAACAACGATACATCAAACAGTGAATAACCGAAATAATCCTTACGACCTCCTCGGATCCCTCCTGAAACACCTGACCAACCAAATCACGCATCTTCACACCACCCAATCCCAGACCACTACACTTCAAACACACACCCAAACGTTCACGACCTAACACCACCCCCACCAACCAACCCCCCCCCCCCCCCCCCCCCCCCACACACACACACACACCCCGACAACTACACTTCACACCCCCACCCCCAGACGTTCACGACCTAACACCACCCAATCCCCGACCACTACACTTCACCCACCCATCACCAGACGTTTACGACCTAACACCACCACCCCCCCCCCCCCCCCCACACACACACCCCGACAACTACACTTCACACACCCACCCCCAGACGTTCACGACCTAACACCACCCACTCCCCGACCACTACACTTCACCCACCCACCCCTACACGTTCACGACCTAACACCACCCCCCCCCCCCCCCCGACAACTACACTTCACACCCCCACCCCCAGACGTTCACGACCTAACACCACCCACTCCCCGACCACTACACTTCACACACCCATCCCCAGACGTTTACGACCTAACACCACCCCCCCCCCCCCCCCACCCCGACAACTACACTTCACCCACCCACCCCCAAACGTTCACGACATACCACCACCCACTCCGCGACCACTACACTTCACCCACCCACCCCCAAACGTTCACGACCTAATACCAGCCCCCCCCCCCCCCCCCACTCCCCCCCCATCCCGACTACTACACTTCACACACACACACCCAGACGTTCACGACCTAACACCACCCACTCCCCGACTACTACACTTCACCCACCCACCCCCAAACGTTCACGACCTAACAACACACTCTCCCCGACCACTACACCTCACCCACCCACCCCCAGACGTTCACGACCTAACACCACCCACTCCTCGACCACTACACTTCACCCACCCACCCCCAAAACGTTCACGACCTAACACCACCCACTCCCCGACCACTACACTTCACCCACCTACCCCCAAAACGTGCACGACCTAACACCACCCACTCCCCGACCAGTACACTTCACCCACCCACCCCCAAACGTTCACGACCTAACACCACCCACTCCTCGACCACTACACTTCACCCACCCACCCCCAAAACGTTCACGACCTAACACCACCCACTCCCCGACCACTACACTTCACCCACCTACCCCCAAAACGTGCACGACCTAACACCACCCACTCCCCGACCAGTACACTTCACCCACCCACCCCCAAACGTTCACGACCTAACACCCCCCACTCCCCGACCACTACACTTCACCCACCACCTCCAAACGTTCACGACCTAACACCACCCACCCCCCGACCACTACACTTCACCCTCCCACCCCCAGACGTTCACGACCTAACATCATCCTCTCCCCGACCACTACACTTCACCCACCCCTCGTACACCACCCCGGTAACCACAATGTCATGTCGACATGCCCTTTGTCACAAGGAGGCCCGACACAACCGGATATTCTAGTTGATTTTGCGCTTTCTGTTTCTTGACCTTTCTCGAACGGTTTTCTTTGAATTCTTGTATTGCGCGAACGTAGCGCCAGCTGAAGAGATGGAAGAAACCAGATGATCGATTTCTGACATTTTATACCAGGTTGGCTTGCGTTCTTGTCAATCTTCAGTGTCCTCAAGTCGAGGTTATCAGACAAAGGGGTTACATCATATCCCCGTACCTCCAAATCATCAACTATCAAGTGCTGTTGTCCTCAATGGGTACAGTGTATTTGTCATAATAAAATAGTGAAATGGTTTTGAATTGGTTTATCGAGGATCCGTCCCCTGGGATTCTGACTGCACTACCAGATTTCAGTATTGCATCAGTGACACAGTCAAGTAGTTTCTTGCAGTGTAAACCAGATTTCAGTATTGCATCGGTGACACAGTCAAGTAGTTTGTGGCAGTGTAAACCAGATTTCAGTATTGCATCGGTGACACAGTCAAGTAGTTTGTTGCAGTGTAAACCAGATTTCAGTATTGCATCGGTGACACAGTCAAGTAGTTTGTGGCAGTGTAAACCAGATTTCAGTATTGCATCTGTGACACAGTCAAGTAGTTTGTGGCAGTGTAAAGCAGATTTCAGTATTGCATCGGTGACACAGTCAAGTAGTTTGTTGCAGTGTAAACCAGATTTTAGTAGGGCATCTGCGACACAGTCAAGTAGTTTGTGGCAGTGTAAACCAGATTTCAGTATTGCATCGGTGACACAGTCAAGTAGTTTGTTGCAGTGTAAACCAGATTTCAGTATTGCATCTGTGACACAGTCAAGTAGTTTGTTGCAGTGTAAACCAGATTTCAGTATTGCATCGGTGACACAGTCAATTAGTTTGTGGCAGTGTAAACCAGATTTAAGTATTGCAACGGTGACACAGTCAATTAGTTTGTGGCAGTGTAAAGCAGATTTCAGTATTGCATCGGTGACACAGTCAAGTAGTTTGTGGCAGTGTAAACCAGATTTCAGTATTGCATCGGTGACACAGTCAAGTAGTTTGTGGCAGTGTAAAGCAGATTTCAGTATTGCATCTGTGACACAGTCAAGTAGTTTGTTGCAGTGTGACCCAGATTTCAGTATTGCATCGGTGACACAGTCAATTAGTTTGTGGCAGTGTAAACCAGATTTCAGTATTGCATCTGTGACACAGTCAATTAGTTTGTGGCAATGTAAACCAGATTTCAGTATTGCATCGGTGACACAGTCAAGTAGTTTGTGGCAGTGTAAATCAGATCTCAGTATTGCATCGATGACACAGTCAAGTAGTTTGTTGCAGTGTAAACCAGATTTTAGTAGGGCATCTGTGACACAGTCAATTAGTTTGTGGCAGTTTAAACCAGATTTCAGTATTGCATCTGTGACACAGTCAAGTAGTTTGTTGCAGTGTAAACCAGATTTCAGTATTGCATCTGTGATACAGTCAAGTAGTTTGTGGCAGTGTAAACCAGATTTCAGTATTGCATCTGTGACACAGTCAATTAGTTTGTGGCAGTTTAAACCAGATTTCAGTATTGCATCTGTGACACAGTCAAGTAGTTTGTTGCAGTGTAAACCAGATTTCAGTATTGCATCTGTGATACAGTCAAGTAGTTTGTGGCAGTGTAAACCAGATCTCAGTATTGCATCGATGA